TCAAAAAGAGGAAAGAAAAAGCCTCAAATTCAAGCAAAAAGGAATGAAAATGGAGAAATCACTACAGATACTGTGGAAATTCAAAAAGTCATCAATAGCTACTTTGAAAATCTTCACTCTCACAGCTAACCTCATCATAAGAGGAAAGAAAAACTCGAATTCAAGCAATAAGGAATGAAAAGTGTGAAATTACTACAGATGTTGTGGAAATTCAGAAGATCATTAATAGCTACTTAGAAAATCTTTACTCTTACAGAATCAGACATATAGAAGAAATAGGGAGATTCCTAGATAGGTACAAACTACCAAAACTGGATCAAGAAAATATAAAATCTCTGAATAACCCACTAGTAGCTAATGAAATTTAAAATGTAAAAAAAAAAAAATTTCTACTGACAAAAAAAATTCCCAGTACTGATGGATTCACAGTTGAATTCTACAAGAAATTTAGAGAATATTTAATCCCAATATTCCTCAAATTCTTCAGTGAAATTGAAAAGGAAGCACTACTCCCAAAATCATTCCCCGATGCAAGTATTATAATGATACTGAAACCAGAGAAAGATTTAACCAAAAAAGAGAACTATAGACCAATCTCTCTCATGAAGATAGATGCAAAAATCCTTAGTAAAATCCTAGCAAATAGAATACAGCAAATCATCAAGAAGATTATACACCATGACCAGGTAGGATTCATCCCAGGGATGCAAGGAGGATCCAACATATGGAAATCTCTAAATGTAATACACTATATCAATAGAGCCAAAACCAAAAACCACCCAATCATCTCAATTGAAGCAGAAAAGGCTTTTGACAAAGTCCCACACTCACTCATGATCAAAGCCCTATAGAAAATTAGAATAGATGGCTTCTACCTCAATCTGATAAAAGCCACCTATGACAACCAAATGGCCAACATAATTCTAAATGAGGAAAAATTGAAAGCTTTTACTCTCAAATCAGGTGCAAGATGTCCTCTATCAACACTCCTATTCAACATAGTTCTGGAATCATTAGCTAGAGTCATTAAGAGAGAGAAATAAAAGGAATAGGAGTAGATAAAGAAGAAGCTAAGCTATCACTATTTGTAGATGACATGATACTCTACTTGGAAGACCTAAAAATTCCACCAAGAAGCTTCTATAATTAACAAACAAATTCAGAATCATAGCAGGTTATAAAATCAGTGCCCAAACATTAGTAGCATTCCTCTACACAGAAAACAAATACACTGAGAGAGAAATTAGTAGAACAATACCCTTCACAGTAGCATCTGGAAAAATGAAATACCTAGAAATTAATCCAACAAAGTAAAAGATCTATAGAGTGAAAACTACAGTACTGTGAAAAGGAGGAGGATTTCAAAAATGGAAAGATATTCCCTGTTCCTGGATAGGAGGAGCAATCATGGTGAAAATGGCTGTACTCCCAAAATTGTTATAGATTTAATGCAATCCCTATCAAAATACCATCAACATACCTCACAGATCTAGAGAAAACATTCCTAAAATTCATTTGATCCTTCATTTTTAAGGGATGGCTTGAGCTGAAGCTCCATCTGCCCCTGTTGCCTCAGGCTGCAGGAGTAGGGCAAGGCTGCCCTGCTGGAACTCAGGGAGCTGGGGCCTCACTCTGAGGGGTAAAAAGAGACCAAGCAAGATGGCTTTGTTGCCTGAAGAACCATCATCCTTTGTTTTTTTTTTTTTTTTGTTTTTTTTTCTTGATAATTGTTAAGTTTATTGCAGACCAGTTATATACCAGGTATTGTGTTGCATGCTTGACTTGCATTAACTCAGTTTCCCCCAATAACCTCTTTTACTGTCTATTTTAGAATTTTTGCATACATGTGACACAAGTATACACACACAAATATTTCAGATAATAAGAACATTAAGATAGGCAGAAAAGGTAATAAATTTGACGACATAGGGAGATTTCATTATTAACTTTTGGCATATAACTAAGTCATTTTGCTTTGCATTAGGTGATATACAAAGGATCATATAAGGTATATATACAACTTGCTATTTTCACTGTATAATGTGTGAGCATCTTCCCATACAAATGAATGAAAGTACTTATTCGATCATTGAAATTGAGCCAAAGAGAAGTTGACAAGAGTCATATGTAAATCTAAGCTCTATTAAAGGATTGGAGTAAAATACTAGCAAATATTTAGCAAGAAAATGCATAGCACTGATTGCTTTAATAATAGAAAATAAGTTAGTTCAGTGAGGAAGCATTAAATTCATTAAAAGACAGTTCTAAAAATGCTTGTGGTTAAAATTCAAACCTTTTATCTCTTCCAAACACCATTCCATCTCGTTCTCCTGTCATCATCTTCATCCTTAACATGGCTTCAGTCTATGTCCTCTTTAAAATCTTCAAGAGACATAAACAAGCTCTAAAATTCTCTTCTTTTTTTTTTTCAAAGTTTTATTGACAAAGAGATAGCAATGAGACAGTTTCAAATCAAATCGGAAGGACAGTTTCAACAAATAATACACTGCATATATTCTTCTTAGTGGTTAATTGCTGTACAAGATGCGGACTTGTGATCCTATTCACAAACACCATTAGAACAAATCATTCTATTCATTAAGAGAATGCAACTATATATCTATCCCAACCTCTTTGAATACACAGATACAAAATGGACATTCATCGGTATACCCCATTTTTTCTAAGTTACATTATTGAATATTATGGAAAACAGAGTAAGGACACAATTAGGACATCATTACTGCTTAGGATTCACTTTATAACTATGCAGGTGTCAAAACTTGAAATTAGAATATTGGCAGATAGTGGTAGAAGTCAAACAAAATTATGCAGTGTTTGGCAGAAGACTTTTGTCTTTAAAGATAACCTTTCTTAACTTTTGAAGTTTGAAGTTTTGTTTGTTGGTTGGTATTGGGAATTAAACTCAGGATCTTGTACTTGTCAGGCTGGCTCTGTGCCACTGAGATATATCCTCAGCCCAACTTTTGAAGTTTTTTTCCCAAGCACAATAGGTAAATTTAAGAGATTGTAGACTTCCTTGTTTTACTAATAAGAAATCCAATTTAATCCTACTTTAATCATGTAAATCTTCAAGGAATACAGTAAATCAAGATATTTATGTTTCTATGTGAACACTACATCATTAAAGTTCTTTCTACAGGGTTGAGATCCTGGGGTGTGACTTTTATTCTGTAGGCTTGAAAACCCTTTGTAGTGCCAGCTTTGGCTGACATGCCCATATGAAGTCTGGATAAGATAACTGGTGACTACAATGGTAATAGCACAATCTCCTTACTCCCAGTGAGACTGCAAGACACATTTTTGGAGGAGTTAGTAGAACTGGGAACCATGACTTCTTACACCTATATATTAAGATGTTATAAATGCATCTAGAGGCCACCAGTAGAGCTGGTGCAGTGTTTGAATCTCCTTTTTATATCTAGCCTAGTTTTTTCTGTTTTCATATTACTATTAATTACTCTGTTTGGGTTATATTTTCCAGCTGGGTGCTTAAGATTAATACAGATCAGAGTCAGATCTGCATTAATCAAATATTTTTAATAGTAAAATAAAATTTATTAACACCTCATTGAAATTTCAGCATGTATCTGAATTTTCTGTTGGGTCTTTGATGGTAAACAAAAATTTTGAATCTATAAAATGTCATTTTAAAAGCATATGCCTTTATTATTAATGGGAACACAAAGTAATTTGAAAGCTTTTCGTAAGTTAAAACTAGGCCTTTAACTCTTCTTTTTTGATAGAATCTTGAATTTCACAAATAAATATTAGCCTCTATCACCAGTCTTATAGTTGATGCAAAGATAATTAATTTATTTCAACATTAATCAAAATTTGTCAGTCAACCTGTCTGTCTGTCTGTCGGTGGGCCTGTCTGTCTGTCTATCTTTCAAGGATAGTTAAGGCTCCTTGGGGGTCACATTTGGGACATGTGAGGAGTCCCTTATCTCCTTTAGCTTTTCTTCCGCTAGTTGTATTGTTTGCCAGGATGGGTCACATTCTTGCTTCATGCTGTAGCTTTCCTTGAAAGTATGAAACAGTCCCTCTTTAGTGACCCTCATTTGTGCAAAATGTGTGTTGGGTGATGTCTGGATTTCTCTTCTCGTGTTGCTGAGACAAAATACCCAAAGCCCAAAGTTAAAGAAGGAAAGGTTTATGTAGCTCACAGTTTGTAGAACTTTCACTCCATAATTGGCTGGTACCAAGGCAAGGTGGCACATAGTTGAGGGGCATTACAGAGGAGAACCTGCTCATGCCACGCAGACAGGTTAGAGCAAGCAAGCAAGCAGGGATTTTATCAGGGTCTTTCTGCTTCTTCTGTCTTATCCAGGCTACTTAAGGCTACTCATACCCTTAGTCCTGCCCTTAGCTTAGCATTGCACCATAATTCAATTCCAGAATCACACACTGTAGGTCCAGAACAGCCCCACTCATGACTGCATGGGGTTTTGAGGGAACATCTAAACACAAGCCACAATAGTTGACTAGTGTCCTCTGGAGTCCCAATATCCCCCTGAGTGACTCACTGGAAATCTGCAGGAACCATTCACAGGGATCCTTTTATATACTGGATGACTTTGGAGGGAAAGAATAAAATTTTGCTTTAGTGTTATTATTTTGGTTAACTTTGGTCTCCAAGCCTGAGGCATTACACAGCCAAGAGGGTCAGTTTTGCTAGTCTTGAAGTGGGATCAGTAGGTCTTAATCCTGTTATAAACTTTTCTGGATATTGAATAAGTAGGACCAGAAAGTAGCTGTTTTGTAATAGCATTATGACATAATATGATTCTATATCTGTCCAAATACTATGTTAGTAATCATATATATATATATATATATATATATATATATGCATGCATGCTTTGGAAATTGCATAACATCATTGCATATATTGTTTGATGAAGAAAAACTTGCTAATTTGAAGGGGTACTGAATGTACTGTATTATGATACATATTTACTGTTTTTTTTCCCCAGGGAGACAAAGGAAATCAAGGGGAAAAAGGCATTCAGGTAAGTTGGTTTTTGTTGTCTTTGTTTTCGTATAGCAGTAAAATAAGGGCTTTGTTTTTCTAAATTCTTATATGCATTTTCCAATTTCCTCCTGTTTCATGATCAACACTAATTGTATCTTTCTTCTTTTGCTACTGAGTTTTTAGATAATACAAGATCTAACTTCAAGGTTCTTTACCATTTTATTGTCATAGAAAACTTGAAAATCTAATGGTTCAACAAAGTGAACATTAATTTTACATACTTCTCTTGTCTATATGTTGACAGTATATATTTACAACCACAATTCTAAATGGCTTCTGCCAAAAGGTGGATAAGAAACCACTAGGACCAGTTGTAAAGCATATCCAATCCATTACATAGGGGTGACTACACTAGAAAATTGCATCATGCCGAGGAAACCCAGGCTGATTGAGAAAGACCCTGCATCTTGGGTGTCTTAGCAACGTAGGCCGCAGGAGAACCGCACTACTGCTTTGGAGGACAGATGTAGTTCCGCCGAGGTTAACTCACTACGCTTAATTTCGGCAACTGTAGGATGATTTTTCTTTCTTTGAGTGAAGACACATAGATAGGAAAACATGAACTGAGTCAGTTTTATATTTACCTACATTAAATTGTGTCTATTGGTCTTTTAAGCTTATAAGTTTTAAAGTTAAAAAAGTTTTCCAACTATAAATCATGAATATAGTTCTGACAGTATTTTAAAAATAGTTTTAGAATTACAAAGCTAGTTATACTGGCTAAGCTTTACTACTCAGAATAAACTTAAACTTCAAACAAAAACATTTTGGAATATTTTATAAATATAAAATCTTGAAATATGGGAATAATTTAAAATTGAAATAATAATAATAATAATAATAATCTAAATTTAGTTTCAGCAGTCTTTACTCATAAATCTTTTCCTCCTAGCATGTATGAAATCTTTTAGAATGGCATAGTAAAATTCAGTTATGCATCAGATATTTTTAGTTACAGTCTTAATGTAGCATTGTAATATCATTACTTTAAGTTCATCTTGAAGTTAGGAGAAAAGTAAATTTTTAGTGTTTATGAGCTCCACACCCACGGGTCCTAATGCATTTGGGTGCTTCAAATTTACTCACATTGCACATGTCCCCATGGAGCTCATCATCTTTACCCCCAATCCATTTCCTGCTCATGAGTTCTTTGTCACAGAATTTTCACACTACCTCCCCTCATAGACAGAATTTGTTCTAGGAGCAGGCATCTTTATCTAATTAACATCCAGTTACTTAATCAGCATAAATATCCTATGCCCTGGCCCCTTCACCTTGTCCTTACTGGCCCGCCCCACTGATGCTGGGGTTTTACTTTTACGCAGTATTTTTCTCACTGACCTCGAGTCCAGTCTACTTTGTCTCCTCTGTGTGTTTGCAGATATGAAAGGGCCAAGCCGCACATCTGCCTAAGTATCCCTTCATGCTGCTCATCACATCCAGCATGCTCCAACCCTGGCTTGACTGACTGTCCCTCTTTTGTGCTATTTCCCACAGTCTGCTCATATTTTCTCCTCTCATTCAGTTGTTTTGGCCAGAAGGAGTTGCCTGTCTTTGCCCTGCCGGAGTGCCCTGGCATGCTGTGTTAGCCATTCTCTGGGTGGCCAGCGCTTATTGAACCTTCAACCTGGGCCCCAGGCCACATATTCCTGGCCCCTCCACCAGAGGCGCTCTCCTGTGTTCCAGTGGTATCCCACCAGATATTTAGTTGTATGTTGTATACTTATCTGACACTGTTTTCATTTCCTTTTTCCTTTCCTTTCCTTTCTTTTTTTTCGGAACCGGGAAATGAATTCAGGCCTTTGCACTTGCCAGGCAAGCACTTATTCTACGGAGCCATCTCCTTGGCCCCTGACACTATGTTTTCTGTTTGGTTTTAATTTTCCTTCCTGTCACAAAATAAGCAACTTGAGAGCAACAATGATACCTTTCTCAGTGTCCTGATTCAAAGATCTTTGAGTGTTTTGTTCCTAACAGAATTTTTAATTCTAAAAAAAATGATTTTAAAAGTCAATATTGAACATAATTAATATCATTTAAATTTTAAAGTGTCCACATCTATTGGATTTTAAAACTGTTTTTGTGACACTGCAATAGACTGGGTAGACATTATCTAACATTATTTACCTGTCCCCAGAAGTCAGAAGCAGTGTGTCTAACAGTGAGGTTAGATTGACTTTTTTCTTTTGTTCTTTGAGTGACAAACTTTCTGATTCAATTTACATATTTGCATCACTGCTCTTGAAATACTTTTATGAGACTTTAGAGTAATGCATAATTTATATTGTATATTATACTGTATGTATACAGACTAATCAATAATGTTTATTAAATTTTAAAGGGTCAAAAGGGAGAAACTGGAAAACAAGGAATTCCAGGACAACAGGTATTTTCATTTTGCCTGGGAAAAATATCATTTATTTCATTACATTGGACCATGCTGACAGAAGGGTACTTTTGATTAAAATACATAGAGACCCCTGGCTCCAGAGGCTACATTGGCCCTACCCCTGGCACACTGAGCTGGCCCTTAAGACCAGGTGTGTGGTGCACATCTGTAATCCCAGTGCTGGGGAGGCTGAAAACAGGAGGATCACTGTGAGTCAGAGCTGCATGGTGAGACCCTGTACCAATTACATAAATAAATAAAAAGCAGAGAGAGAAAAGGGTAGATTTGCCACACATATTAAGCATACAAAGATGAGAATGCTAAGGGTGGTAGTAACAGTGGTTTTCTTTGTTTTGTATTTCATTTCCCAATACTGATAACATTGGTGGCTTTGAAGTTTGCTTTGTAGTCCTTTCTTCTGGCCAATGAAGTAAAAATAGAAACTCCTGCCATTTCTTGGAGGAGTTACTGGTCAGAAGCTGCTAGCAGCACCTCTCCAAATCTGCTGTTCAGTCTTGGTGTTTGTCTTGATTGCGAACAGTCCCTCTAGTTTGTGCAAATATATCATTTACTACTGGAGAAAGCTACACATATGCTGTCCTGAGGGACGAGACAGATACATAATCAGCTTGCTTTCTTCTCCCCTGACTGAACTCTCCTGTTAGAGAGATTGCCACACGGCATCCAACTCCAGTCCAAGCTGAAGGCGCAGAGGTAGCTGTGCTCATGTTGGCTGTAGATTCAGGGTGTTGAGCTCAGTGCAGTTGAGTCTGGATTGGAAGGGTGAGCTGTACATGTGAACTCTCACCCGGAGTGAACTTCTTGCTGAGTGTGGGTGGGAAAGGATGAGAAGTACCCTGGCTCAGGGGACTGAACCAGGCAGCGGTGTCTCTAGGCAACAATGTGTCTTTGAAAATTGCATGATGGCCCACAGGGCAGAGTGCTGAAAGCCAGTGACCCCAAGCATTGTCTGTACTGCAGAATGAAGAACAATGCTAGATGTGAAGGAACTGAGAATTGAAAAGCCAGAAAGAAGAGCAGATGTCACGAAGACAGGAAAAACGAATTGAAGTTCATTGTGTGCCATCATGTGTAATAAGATGTCTTAGATTTTGTCGTTCTCTACTTGACTTAACCTAACCAATGACACAGCTGCCTCTGCCCTGCACTTCTCCTTTTTGGAGGATTCTCTCCATTTTCCCAAATTAATTGCATTATGTCTTTAAATTGATATTCTCATGGGAGCCACCCCTTTTCCAGTCAGTCTCTAGGACTTTAGCCAGGCTGTTGTACCAATGACTCTGGGAGGACAAGTGCTTTGAATTTGAGCCTACACTCAGCAAGTGTGCTGCCTTCAGGATGATTCTTCTTCCAAAGTCCCATTCAAATGTGTCTTTATTTCTCCCACTTCTCAAGAAAAACATCCTTGGGTTCTTGAAAAGCTTCTGCCCTGGGTCTTGTCAGACACACATCCCACAGTCGGGAGCTGAGCCTCAGTGGAGCACTCAAGGTCAGAGCATAGTTGGTCTGCAGCGCTGACAGTGTCCTAGCCCTTCCCACTCTGTGGCTTCCTCACCTGTCCATCTGAGCACGTGGTGCATTTTCTCAGCCTTCATTTTGTGAACGGAGTCCACGTGAATGTTTCTCTCAGGATATCATCTTAATGTACTCTCAGGTGACAGATGAGTCTGGTTTCAGCTCTAGTTCATTTATCATCCTGAGAACTATTTTATCCTTCTTCTGGCATCCAATGGTGGACTACGCCTGCCACGAGCCATCTGCATTTCCTCAGAAATAAACCTTGTTACGTGAAGAGTCACTTACTGAGAGTGTTTTACTAACAACAGGTTGCATATCCCTAACCGAAATGGTTGTAGCCAAATATATTTCTGATTTCAAAGTTTTAAAAAGTTGTATTATTTGCATAAATATGTATGTATATTTGTGTATGTACTTGTATATCTATAGCTTTATTTATATGCATATATTTATATCTATATCTCTCTGAACATGACTCAAGTATAAGCACTAAATTAATTTGCATTTCATAATACAGATGCAAAGCCTGGAGGCTTTACATTGAGGTGATTTACCTCTTATAGGGAACTAATTGCATAGAATATTTTAAGTAGATTTGCTACAAAACAAACCTTTATATGTAAGATCAGATGGAGAATTTTTCATTTATGGCTTCGTGGTAACGTTGAAACTTTGGAAAACTTCAAATTTCCAATCTTCAGACTGGAGATACTCAGCCTGTAATATATTTTATGCATTTCGTATAGTTACGCTCATGTTTTAATATGAGGATCTACCTGTTTTTTTATTTTGACATCAGTTATTTTTATTTTAAAGAAAGAAAAAAAAATAAAAACAGTGGTACAAAATCTCAAAAGAAGATTTTAGGAGAGTAACAATGGTTAATACATTACGTATTCTTATTGCCAAAGTAGTTTCTCATATTATAAGATATAGGCAAGAAATAATAAGCAAACAACATAGGTACAAACCTTTTTTTTTAAGTCAACAGAAAATGGAAATATACTTTCTAAAGTTTCTAATACTAGGAGAAGATATCATACAATGTCTTTTTAAATAAATTTTAAATCAAAGATACAGTATAAATCTTAGAAGAAAAATTAAGATTAATCAATATTCAGAAATTTAAATTTTTCAAAACAATTCAACTAAGAACAAGTTTTTATGATAGCAAAGAAGTACTAAGAGTAAAACATAAGATAAATACTGGAATGGCAAGTAAATGACCAGCACTTCTAACAGTTTGAGGATAGGATATCACAGAAAGTTCTAGTGTGTTGTGGACATGCATAATGACCGTGACAGTTACTGGTGGCTAGGCATCACTTGTGGATCTGAGCTACAGCTATTTGTTTGAAATCCACCCTGTAGACTCAAGTGCAATCATGACCCATGGGGTGGAAGAGAAGTCCATTTGTAGAGTGTGCTGAGGGAAATATTCTGCTGCTGAATACAAAAGAATAACTGAAAGACTACTACGGTATACCTCTTATTCTCCTCTGTTTGTTTGCCCTATTTGGTGGGTTCTTTCCATTCTCATTCATGGGGCTGTGATCAATTTGCTCCCTCTCTAGAACCTCATTTAGTAGTCTGTGTAGGCTTAGCTTTGTCATCATGAAATTCTTTAGTTGTTCTTTGTCATGGAAATATTTCACTTCTCCATTATATTTGAAAGATAGTTCTGCAGGATAGATCAGTCTGGGTTGGAATTTGTTTTCTTGCAAGACTTGAAGTACTTTGCTCCATGCTCTTCTTGACTTGATGGTTTGTGAAGAAAAATCTGCCGTTATTCTGATAGGTTTTCCTTTAAATGTGATCTGTTTCTTTTCTTTAGCGGCTTTTAGTATACTGTTCCTATGCTGAATTTCTGGAATCTTGATTATTATGTGTCTGGGTGTGGTTTTCATTGGATTGATATTATTTGGAGTTCTATCTGCTTCGGTTACAGGAATGTCAGATTGTTGCCCCATATTTGGGAAGTTTTCTGCTATTACTTCTGCCCATATTCTTTTTATATCATTTGTATTGACTCCTTCCTTCTCATCGATGCCTATTAGTCTCACATTGTTCATCTTTGCAGGTAATGAATTATTTTTTCCTGAATCCTAGTTGTTTTAAAGAGATCTTTTCTTTCTTACTTTTTCACTAGCTGCAATGGTGTCCTTCAGGTCAGAAAGTCTATTTTCACTTTCATGCAAATGGTTTTGTCAGCTTGTGATTGAGGTTTTAATTTTCTATATAATCACTTTGAACCTGTTTCATAGATTCTATTTCTTTCCTAAATTGTTTATTCAGGGGTTCCATCATTTTTATATTCTCCTCTATTTTTTATCAGTGTATTCTTTAGAAGCACTTAGTACTTCTTTGATTATAGTTACCACTACATTTTTTAGTTCCGAAATCATTTCTTCTATACCTTTCTGCAGTTGATTCTTTACTGTCAACGCTATTATTTCAGGGATATCTGGCATGTGATTTCCAGTTTCCTCAGTGCTAGTGTCTTCTGCATTTGTACTGGATGGACTTGGGGCCTGAGACTGCATTTTGTTCCATCTCTTTGTCATTTTGTATACCACTGTCTTCTGACCTTTGATGTAGAGCTTAGACAGAGTTATTACCTTAGCAACAGGTCTGGATCTACCAAGTTCAGATTCCTCCAGGTGGGTGTTGTTTGGATCTGGCTGCTGTACTCCACTTCTTTCTGCTGCAGGCCTTAGAGCTGAACCCTTTGTGTCACTCTGGCAAGATGATCTGCTCCTGAATCAGCTGGGTGGGTCTTGCCTCTAGCCTCTTTGCAGGGAGTTCTGCTGAAGGGTTCTGTGCTGGGCCTGCAGCCTAGGTCAAATGAAGATCTGCAGGACCCAGGTCGTCTCACTCACTTGCCGGGCCTGTGCTCTGGGTCTGTTCAAGATCCTGAGGCCCAGGTCATCTCCAGATCTACCTGTTTTTGATACTAAGTGTTCCTAATTATTCCTTTCCTTTGCTTAGTTTAAATATCAGTATTTAAGGGACCTGAAAGGAAAAATATACACCCCAACTCAGATATAATTATGTGAAGTGTTATATACTAAACTTTGTGTTTAATTGATTAACACTAGTTTTGAATTTTGATATTAAATTATGAAACGCCATCTGTCTGTGTTTCTTGGGCTGCCATTGGGTGATTTTTAGAGCCCGAGTATATGATAAACTTCAAACATGACAAAGTATAATTCCTTTTTTGAGAATCCTTATAAATCTATCTTTAAAACAAATGTAAGTAGAGAAAAATAGATAACAAATAAGTGGGAAAATTTTTGACTGATCCAACTAGCTGTGTTTTGTAATTAAAAAGATGAGTAGCTTCACGTACGGACCCCCTAGTGTTTATATCACTGGAGAAAAATCATATTTTACGTAATAGTACTTCTGTAATCTCTTAATTACCACAAAGAGTGGTTTGCCTACAGGAAAACTCGACATATTCTCTCTAATTAATCACTCTTACTGTTATCTTTAATTTATCCTTTATCAACAGTGTTTAATCAAAATTCAATTTTGGTGTGTGAAATTGGGAAAATAGTAATGGTTGTTTTAATCATAGAATAAAAAGTAAATATATCTTAAATTTAGTCTTATTTTTTCACTTTTCAGTGCAATATAACCATATTAATCAACATGATTTCACCTACGACACAGAAAAAATTCATTTGACTTGGGACATTTGCACAAATTAAATTTTATCTGGACACCACAATATTTTGGCATTAGGCCTTTTAAAGACAATTTAAAAAGATTTCTTTTTAAAAATATTTATTTATTTGGAATGGAGCCTCACTATGCAGCTGGGACTTGTAGGGATCATCAACCTCCCTATGCTGGGATTACAGGCACATGCCACTATGCCTAGTTTCGGTGGCTGCACAGTGTGCCCAAGACTCTGGGGCTGGCACGGCGTGTGGTATCAGGGATCAAACCCAGGTCCTTGAGCTTGCCACACAGGCAATTAGACCACCAAGTTATCTCCTCTGCCCCTAAAAAAATGTTTATTTTCTTTTTTTTTTCTTTTCGGAACTGGGGATTGAACCCAGGCCCTTGTGATTGCCAGGGAAGCACTTATTCTATTAAGCTAGCTCCCCAGCCCCCAAAAATGTTTCTTATATGTGTATTTCTGATTCAAATTTTATCAATTACTACTATACCAGAAATGACTGTGAATTGAAGTTAAATATGTGCTAAAAGTTTTTTACCACATTGTTAATGCCATAGCTCACATATTTATTACATTTTTCTCTTGTGTTTCAAAGGGAATTCATGGTCACCAAGGTGTGAAAGGACAGGTACGTCTTCATACACGACCCTCCTTGCCGTGCCCTACTGGTCAGCTCCCAATACTGTGCGCAGGTGGCTTTCAAGGTTTTAAAGGGGAAATGTCTTTCCTGTTCTTGAGGAGGAGCATTACTTAGTGATTGTTAGTGATGCTAATTGGTACTTTTTAAAATGATAATATTTACACTTAACCATATGAAATATTTACTTGCTAGTGTTATGTGTTCTTTTCTACTGAGAGCTACATTCTCTATTTTTCAACAAAGAAAGTTTCAAACGGCTGTGATTGTGTGTCACACCAGGACACGAGCTCTCAGAAACAGGCCTGTGCTGTGTCACCCATGTATCCAAAGCACTATGGCACCTACAGTTCTTGCAGCACACATAGTCAACGCTGGCTGCCTGCAGGGCTGGCTGCAGGGTGGACGTAGGAGGTGGATACATGACAACTCAGATGAGAGAAAATTTCCCTCACAGTCAATGACGGGATTTCTCATTTATTCCTATATTACTTGTATATGCATACATATACATAGGTATATATTTTCACACATCTTCTTAAAGACTTTTAAGATATGATTATACCTTTTAAAATATTCAAATAGAATCCATAAAGATATATTCTGGCTTTAGAGAGGTGAAAAAGGAGAACCTGGCATTAGAGGTGCCACTGGACTGAAAGGAGAACCTGGGACAGATGGCATGATGGGCCCTGCTGGTCCCCAGGGACCACCCGGGGCAGCAGGCCCTCAGGGACCTCCAGGACTGGACGGGAAGCCCGTATGTACTCTGATTCCATCACTAGTTTTATATTTCACTTTCCTTTGTTCTGTTTCCACACATAATAACACCTCATCATTTGACACAGGGCAGAGAATTTTCTGAACAATTTATTCGGCAAGTTTGCAGTGATGTACTAAGAAGTAAGTATCAAGTATAGAGCTTTCCAAACCCTTTCAAAGCACAAAAGTCATACCAATTCTTGGTAGAAAGCACAGAAGATATGTTAGAAAAGAATAAAATAAACATTTATAAGTCACTCTCCAGATTCTTTGATAAACATTTTTATAAATTAATTATTTTTTTGTAATAGAAACTTGTCAATTCATAAATATAGATATCAGGGCTGGTGATATAACTCAGCAGACTAAGTGCTGCTCAGGCAAGTGCAGCAAACAGGGTTCGATCCTTAGCACCACTAGCCTCACCAGCCCCACTCCTGGGCATGCTGAGCTGTGACTGAGTCTGGATGTGGTGGCACACCCCTGTAATCTCAGATCTGGGGAAGCTGAAAGCAAGAGGATCACTACAAGTCCAAGCTGCACAGTGAGACCCCGCCCAGAATACATAAAAATACTAATGATAAAATAAATGCATAAATAAATATAAATATCTATAATTTACTTTGTTAATTTTTCAGGGCCATTTTTAGCTCCAAGTAATTGGCAGAATGAAATTATTATATAGAGCATTGACTATTTACATATGCCTAGAAATAAAATTATTGGCTGAGAGATATGACTATATGTAGTGATCATAGATTTTTTTCTATATGTTTAAAAAGTGGTGAGACATACTGTTAACTATGCCTTACCATCTAACTATAAAGAATGTGATTTCTCTACCATTTAAGCCCAGTTACCAGTCTTCCTTCAGAGTGAGAGAATTCAGAACTGTGCTCACTGTCAGCTGCAACGTGGCCCCCCTGGTGTTCCTGGACCACCTGGGCCCATGGGCCCAGAAGGTCCCCGAGGATTTCCGGGTTTCCCAGGAAGAGATGGTGTTCCTGGATCGGAGGGTGCTCCTGGCCGTCCAGGTGCCCGAGGATTAAGAGGTCAGTGTGTGTTTTCCTTACTGTTTTCTCAGGGCCGAGACCAAACGCCCGATGCCCAAAGTTAAAAGAAAGCAAAAGTTTCTTTAGCTCACAGTTTGTACATGTCTCAGTCCATAATCCACTGGCTCTAAGGCAGGGTTGCCTGGCACAGGGACCACTGCTCATGGTGGTGGGAGGCAGAAAGAGCAACAAGAGTAAGACAGCTTCTTTTGGTCCCTTATACTATATCCAGGCTACTGGGATTAGACACTGCCAATCCAACCAGTGGACTGTTTCAACAATGGCCCACCCTTAATCCAGCATTGGATTATAAATCAATCGCACACCACAGATTCAGCTACCTCTGAGTAGCCCCATTTAAAACTGGGAGGACATGAGGTATTGAGGGGTCATATAGACACAAGCTATAATAGTATGTTGGAATAAGCAAGTTAACAAAAATGTCAGCTTTTCTAGTCACCCTGTATTCATTTAGCAGGCAAAAGTTCACTTGTTTTCATGACAAAAATGCTTTTTGTAAATCCATGTAAAATCATTTTAACAATTTGTCAACTCATTTTAAAAAACAGTTACTCTGTTCTCTTGATGTGATTTTCTCAAGCAGAGGTTAAAATTATGAGCATGTGAAGTTGTAGACATTGACAATACATTCAGAAATTTTATTTGAGTCCAAAACTGTATTTATATAGAAAATCATAGACACTATTTTCTTTAATTCCAGCTTGGTAACATTCATCCATGTCAGCTGATTCAAATTTGTCTTCTATCTCAGTGAAACTTATTTTGTAATTGAACTTCATGGTAGGCTGTAGTTACTTCTCTTTATCTTTGATAATTCTTCCTTTTTTAAATACCATATGAACTATTCAGATGTTTCATGAGAATAATTAAAAAATAAGCATGATTATCAAAGAAGACCAATAATATGTAACCACTATTTTTTTAAATATTTAATTCAATTAAGTGTTTCTTTGACACACTACTGATACATGTAGAAATTTTTGCTTAACAATTCTGTTTCCAATCTATTTAAAAAACTGATGATGAGATACTTTTTAAACATATTTATTTTTCTTTCAATGATTTTATTAACAATTTTGCAACAGTGTAGGCCCCAGGGATCTTCACAGGAAAGTCAGCTTACTCAAATACTTGATACTCCACAGGCCTCCCAGGAAAACATGGGGTAAAGGGGAGCCAAGGGTTCGGGCACCCTGGAGAGCAAGGTCCTCCTGGTCCCCCAGGTGAGTGTGCTGCACACTTGTGGCATTACTGTGTTGCCCTGCATTGCCCGGGTGCTCTTGAACTCCAAGGTAGGCAAGCCTCTGTGTCTGCTCCCAGCAGCTGGGGCCATGCATGTGTACCAGCCTGGTTGGCTTGGTGCATAGTTTGTTTTAAGCAAAACTTTAAAAAATGTATGTCAAATAATTTGAAACAAAGACATTTGTTTCCTTTATGGGGATGAACATTTAAAAATTGTGGTTTAGCTACTGTAGTTTTCCCATCTTGGTGGTCTTTTAGGGTTCTTCCTTGTCTTTAAGTCTAGACTTTGGTGGTCTTCATCATCCCTGCTGTCGGGAGTGTAACCTTGGTCATTGCTGTGACTTCTGGGGCAGCAGGAGAGTTCTTTCCTTTGAGAGCCAAACTGTGAGCATAAATAGAAGTCCTAAGAAAGTTCTGTTTTCTGGAATGCTCATTTTGCCATGGCTCAACTTCCTTGAGTGTAAGGCGGTGATGGTAATAGTTTGGCTCACCGTGTTAATGACAGAGCTGAGTCTGTCATGTTTTCTATAATTGTTTTCTATTATTATTTTAGGTAATTCATTAAGGCCTGAGTGGATCAAATGACTTAGTGCTGTTTATCTCACACATTTAGAGCAATGCCTACACTCATGCTTTAGTGCTAAATAAATATGTACTACTGGGGAATAGCAATACTAATAGTAGGACGTAGACAGTGTCCTCGATTATTCTGCCCTGTCCCCAAACCTCAAAAGTTTGCTTTTGCTTGAGTCATCAGTTTTTAGATTTTAGGTTCGTTGCCCTAAATTAAATTTCCTTCCCTTGTGCATGTTAATTGCACTAACTAGGTTATGAGTCACAGAGTACTGCTCTAGCCCATATAATGTCTATTGTGGTAATGACAATGTATTTAGACGTAGACC